AAAGAACAATAGGTTGGGTACAGTGCTTGAGCCTGTAATCCCAGCACTTTGGGAGGCCAAGGCAGGAGGATGGCTTGAGTACAGTAATTCAAGACCAGCCTGGGGAACATAGCGAGGCACTGTCTCCACCAAAAAACCCCACAACAACAAAAACCAAAATAAACAAAAATCACACAACATTAAAAAGTCCAACATACTCATAGAAAGAAGTCAAAATACAAACCTGCTTCCAATACCAAAGGAAAACCACAGCCCTCAATTCCTCTTTTAGAATTGTTTTCATGGTTTCAGGGTTGACCTTAAACTAGTTTTGCTGTTTTTCCAACTCATGCCTCTCTTTACATTTTGTCCAGATAGGAGATTGTGGTTTTGTTGGGTCTGAAGGGCCTTACTGGGTCAGGAAATGAAAGGATTACAATGATTTAATACCTTTTACCTAGTCAAAGTTCCAACATATGGTCATGATTTGAAATTTCAATTGGAATAATGTTTTGGAAGATTTTTGTAAATCATAAGTGTTGTACAAACATTACTTTGTTGATGTTGTCATAAGCAGGATTGGTTACTTTGTATCAAAAGAGATTTAGCCTCTTAATGAAAAAAATCTCTGGTATAACATTAAAGATTACATTAAAACTCGCGTTTAACATTAAAGATAATTTTCTAGGCTTTGGCAGTAAAGGTTACGGTCTACTGCAGCATGGGGGAAAGGGAAAAAGACTGAAAGTAACTGCCTGCCCTTATTTAATCATAATTTGGTTCCTTCCAGTTTCTTTGCAGCTAACTCCACCAGCAGATAATTAAATAATGCTGATTATGGCTACAGAAATATACTTTAGTATGTATAAATTTAAGTCAAAAATGTAGTATAAGGATGACTGGCCAGGAGCGACGGCTCATGCCTGTAATCCCTGCACTTTGGGAGGCTGAGGCGGATGGATCACTTGAGGTCAGGAGTTTGACAACAGCCTGGCCAGCATGGTGAAACCCTGTTTCTACTAAAAAATACAAAAAATTAACTGGGCATGGTGGCGGGCACCTGTAATCCCAGCTACTCGGGAGGCTGAGGCAGGAGAATTGCTTGAACCCAGGAGGCGGAGGTTGCGGTGAGCCGATATCATGCCACTGTGTCCCAGCCTGGCCTACAGAGGGATACTCTGTCTCAAAAAAAAAAAAAAAAAAAAAAAAAGGATGACTTACAAAGAAGGAAAGAGTCACTCTAAGGAAAAAGCAGAGTATGAAAAGGAACCCTGAAATAGTCAGGCTTTCTACAGGGAAAATGTCTATCTAGCCATTAAAATAAAATTGATTAAAATATTCAATTACAGACAGAGATAAATGCTAAAATGACCAATGCCTGTTTTTTTTTTTTTTTTTTTTCCCGAGACATGGTCTCGCTGTGTCACCCAGGCTGGAGTACAGTGGCACGATGTTAGCTCACTGCAAACTTTGCCTCCTGGGTTCAAGTGATTCTCGTGTCTCAGCCTCCGGAGTAGCTGGGATTACAGGTGCCCGCCACCACGCTAATTTTTGTATTTTTAGTAGAGATGGAGTTTCACCATGTTGGCCAGGCTGATCTTTAACTCCTGGCCTGAAATGATCTACCCGCCTTGGCTTCCCAAAGTCCTGGGATTACAGGCCTAAATGCCTTTTAATATATGCTGTTAGACTAAAGACAAGTTATGTCTGTAGCTTTGCTTCTTCCATATTCTTTTTTTTTTTTTGAGATGGAGTCTTGCTCTGTCACCCAGGCGGTAGTGCAGTGGCGTGATCTTGGCTCATTGCAACCTCTGCCTCTCGGGTTCAAGTGATTCTCCTGCCTCAGCCTTCTGAGTAGCTGGGATTACAGGGGCCCACCACCATGCCCAGCTAATTTTTGTATTTTTAGTAGAGATGGGGTTTCACCATGTTGGCCAGATTGGTCTTCAATGTGATCCATGGCGCCCGGCCATATTAATTTACTTTTATTAAATATCACTAAAATAATTTCTTGAAACAATTTTATTGGGTTAAAAATATCTGCTGGGCATGGTGGCTAACACCTGTAATCCCAGCACTTTGCCAGGCCGAGGTGGGCGGATCACATGAGGTCAGAAGTGACTTGGGAGGCTGGTGAAACCCTGTCAACTTGGTGAAACCCTGTCTCTACTAAAAATGCAAAACAGCCGGGTGTGGTGGTGCACGCCTGCAGTCCCAGCTACTCGGGAGGCTGAGGCACGAGAATCACTTGAACCTGGAGGAAGAGGCTGCAGTGAGTCAAGAATGGGCCACTGCACTGCAGCCTGGGCAACAGAATGAGATCCTGTCTCAAAAAAAAAAAAAAAAAAAGTGTGAATCACAAATTGCAATGAAATTATTTAAAGATATGATTAACATTTGCTTTGGAGAATATTTGGGTGGTCTGAGGTTATCTATGTTCAGGAATTTTAAGTTCTAGGATAAATTATATGTATATTTTTGAAAATAGAGGGTACATTTTCAAATCTTAAACATGCTTTGGTTTAAAAAGATAACATTTTAGATTGGTCTGGGGTTTTTTCAAATTGTTATTTCAATTTGGTTCAAGCCACTTTTAGGCACGACTCCAAAGTTGCAGTGAAAATATTATTCCTGCAGAAAGAAGCGGAGTATTTATCATCAATAACTTATATTGCTACAAGGTTACAAAACTGATGTATTATCTTTACACAAATGCAGAGTAAAACATAATAGGAGTAATAATAAAAAAAAAGTTCAACATTATTAAAACCCAGGAAGACTTAAAACATATTCAACAAACAAAAGGAACTTCAGGATCCTACTCACTTCAGCTGAGACAAGTCTGTCACTAATTTTCTGCAGCAAGGCAAATTGTTCACTCTGGGTATATCAGCGTTGGGAGATCACAATACTATGTTGATTTCACAGTCCAACCTTCCCTTCACTTCTTGGTTTTATTTTTTCACCTATAATATAGTTTTGAAACTTTGTGCAGAAAAAAAGTGAGGGGGGAAATGCATAGAAATGAATTTCAGAAATTTCCTTTCAAAGTGAGTAGATAGGAAATTTGAAGGGAAGAGAGAATACATATGAACACAATCTATTATGAAGGAAAGCATTACTGATTATGATAGATACTAGTTTTGAAGACATGAAATAAAAGACAATGAGCAACCAGATTTTTGCTCCAACAATGGAAGGAATATTATGATGCATTTAGTTAACAGACTATAAAGTATTAAAATGAGTCTTTAAAGTATAGGGTAATATTTGGTATTTGCATATTACACACTTTCTCCTTTGAAAAGCATTTTCGCAATTAGTCCTTTCAATCTCTACAACCAGGTGGGCTATCCTTTTAACCCAGGGAGGGTCAATGGATTCTGGGACAGACCCCAACCACAGCTGCCGCTGGACCGTGGGTGGGGTCATTCCAAGATCCAGGCAGAAGCCCAGTTCCCAGCTCAGCAGACACCAGCCTCTAGGGTCCCACAGCCAGGGGAGGGAGAGCCTCCCGAGAGCGACTGCTACCGCCACCGTCCTTCCCTGAAATGCAGGTTCCTGTTCACAGCCTGCGGAAAAAGTGCCAGCCACAGTCAGGAAATGTTAAGGTCCTGGGCGAAGGAGGGTTTGTGGCGTCAAAATGATACGGGTTTGATTCCTCAGACATTCTCTTACTGTGAGGGACCTTGGGCAGTCTCTCTGAGCCTCAATTTTCTCATTTGTAGAGCGGACATATTTTGCTTTATTCCATGGGGTTTACTGATGATTAAATGACACAAAGCAATCAAGGTCTCAGCTTACAGGGAACCATCTGTAGGGGATTGGGGAAATTTTCATCTGCAAAATGAGCACAGCGTAGATTCCAATCTGTCACCCAGTGAAGAGCGATCTCATCTCACTGTAACCTCCGCCTCCAGGGTTCAAGCGATTCTCCTGCCTCAGCCTCCTGAGTAGCTGGGATTACAGGCGCGTGCCAACACACCCGGCTAGTTTTTGCAATTTTTTTTTTTTTTTTTTTGAGAGGGAGTCTCGTTCTGTCGCCCAGGCTAGAGTGCAGTGGCGCGATCTCCGCTCACTGCAAGCTCCGCCGCCTCCTGGGTTCACGCCATTCTCCTGGCTCAGCCTCCCCAGAAGCTGGGACTACAGGCGCCCGCCACCACGCCCGGCTAATTTTCTTTTTTGTATTTTTAGTAGAGACGGGGTTTCACCGTGTTTGCCAGGATGGTCTCGGTCTCCTGACCTCGTGATCCTCCCGCTTCGGCCTCCCAAAGTGCTGGGATTACAGGTGTGAGCCACCGCGCCCGGCCTAGCTTTGTAGTTTTAGTAGAGACGGGGTTTCACCATGTTGGTCAGGCTGGTCTTGAACTCCTGACCTCATGATCCATCCGGTCTCGCAAAGCACTGGGATTACAGGCGTGAGCCACTGCGCCCGGCGTGATAGTAAACATTGCTTTGTAAACATAACTGCAATCCACGCCTCCCCCCCGCTTTTTTTTTTGAGACGGAGGCGCGAGCCACCACGTCCGGCTAATTTTTGTATTTTTGTTAGAGACTGGGTTTCACCATGTTGGTCAGGCTGATCTCGAACTCCTGACCTCATGATCCGCCCGCCTCGGCCTCTCAAAGTGCTGGGATTACAGGTGTGAGCCACTGCTCCCGGCCTCCCACCCCTTATTCTAAATGACATTTGTCATCCAAAATATGGGGGCTGGAGGAGAAGATCCAGAACCCAAGGAAACATGATCAACCAGGGCAATTAATCGAGAGGGCAGGACAGGCTAAGCCTCAGCTCTTCTCTGAATATCTGGGACCCCAGTCGCAGCCAAGTGAACCGCCCGCGGCCGCTGCTCGGGCGGGAAGCCTTCACTGGGATCCCACAAGCCGACGCCCGGGATCCGGCGTGGGGCGCTGGGAACTGAGCGGTGGAGGAAGGCGGAGGGGTTAGGGGCGGGGTCCTAGGGGAGGAGTTAGGGGGCGGGGCTTTGATGTTGGGGCGGGGCTAAGGGCGAGACCTCGCCGAGTTCCACCGTTGCGCTCGCCACGTCTTCCTTAGCTAGCTTGCTGGGGACAGGCAGGGGGAGGGAAAACTGAGCGGGGCGGGAACTATCTCCTCTCGCGAGAGCTGGCGACGGCGGCGGCGACGGCGGCAGCAGCGGCGGCGGCGGCGTGTCCGTGAGAGTGGCGTGGGGGCAGGGAGGAGAGGCGGCGGCGGCAGCGTCCAAGCTACGCCACTTGGGCCGGGGCGTTGGGAGCGGGAGTGCAGAGCGTGGTCGTGGCGGCGGCGGTGAGAAGAGCGAGGCGGAGGAGGGGGTGCCATGGCCGGGCAGCAGTTCCAGTACGATGACAGTGGGAACACCTTCTTCTACTTCCTCACCTCCTTCGTGGGGCTCATCGTGATCCCAGCGACATACTACCTCTGGCCCCGAGACCAGAATGCCGGTGAGTCCCGCCGGCCTTTGCCCGCGGACCCGCGCAGGCCCCACCAGCGCCCCCAGGCCCTGTGGCGCCCAGCCCCAGCCCAGCCCTCGGCGTCCGGGGTGACAAGGACCGTGCGGCCCGGCCTGTGTCCAGCGTCCGCCACTGGCGGGGCCCGGGTCGGCGGCGTTTCCCTCGGCGCTTCTCCACCTCCCTTCATTGTCCTCAGGAGTTTCGCTCGCTCCATCTTCTCCATTGTTGTGGACGCTCCTTGCAGTCTCCTCCTGCCTCTTTGTCTTCTCTGCCTCTGCTTTTATTGGGGATTTTTCTTTATGGAGGAAGCGAGATGGGATGGGGAGGATGGGGACTTGGGAGGTGAGCAAAGAGTTGGCCAGGGAAGAAACTGAAGGTGCGGGCACAACTCTCAGTCCCTCCAGTTCGCGGCCCTCCTCCCCCGACTCCTGTTTCCCTGTTGCAGCTGCTCTTAACAGATGTTTTGAGGCATCTCTGAGCCGGGTGGCACGCTTAGGACTCCGACTGAGCTCTCCACCGCCTACCCCCGTCACTTCCTCCCGTTGCTTTTTCATTTGTTCACTCACTGTGGGGGTTGGAAGCAATGCTGTTATTCCTCTTAGCAAAAATAGGATTTTTTCTATTTCCTTTTCTTTGGAGTTTCCTGTTTGTGACGGAAAAAGTGCAAGTATGAAGGGTTAAGTCTCGTTTAATTAATCTTATAGGGAATTTTGAGGTAGTGGGTCGATTTGCTTTTGGTTCTAAGTCTTTTCACATTAAACAACATCGAATTAAAGCACAGAATAACAGATTCTTTTCATATTTCACTTTATGTTTGGGTAATGTTTGCATCCATTTGTTGCACTCTACTAGGACATATGGCAGATGATATTCTTAAAGCTGATGTAACTGCGAGGGCCTAATGGGTTATTTATGGTAGTGTTAACAGTAAGGAGTAGGTTTTGAGTATTAACAACTTAGGGAAGGCTTTCTGTTTCACAAGAGCTGTGCTAACTTGCTTAAATATCTTCTCTTCAACTGGGTGTGCTGGAGGTCTATGTTGTCCAGGTTACATATTCTACTTCGGGGAAGTTGTTAACAGTGAAGCATTGAATCAGCTCAGAACTTGTTATGCTGAATGGATTCAATGCCCTGTAACATTCTTCCCCCCCCCCCCGCCCGTTGTGATCTGCAGGAAACTAACATTCTTGACTTGGAATAGAACTAAAATAAATTTAGGATAAATAGTAAAGGATTCCATCATTTTGCACCTTTGACAGTAAGTTAAAAAATCCATTAGATGCAAAACTCTGTGCACAGTTACCAGTCTTAATACTTTTCTTACTCAATGGGTAGTTTATGAAATTTGGATTTTGGACTGTTGTGCCTTATTTCCTAAGTGCATTTAAATTGTGTAGGTTCTTCCTCGATGTTGAAAAAGGAAAAAAAATATTGGGTAGGTTCTTTGGACAGTGGTTGTGTATAAGTGAAGTCTTAATACTGTATTGACTTATTCTTGTCTGCAAAACCTAGGTCATTCTTGTCGTTGTTGTATTTCAAGTTAAAAGGGTTCACTTTTCAGTAGTTTTATGTTCACCTAACAACCATTATGTGTGCAATTGGTAGTGTAGGAGACAAAAAGATATTGGGAGAGTAGTCGGTGGTTTTGGCTAGAATGTGTTTTGATCAGGCAGAGCAAAAGTATAAAAAATGTTTTGAGAAACGGCCCTGATTTCAGAAATTAGCCATCATTTTTTAATCTACATTGGATTTTTGAAGTTTCTCTTTTCAAAGTGGAGAGAGTCTCATCTGCCCAGGCTGGTCTTGAACTCGCTTCAAGCCCCCTGACTAGCTGGGCTTACAGACTTGAGCCACCATGTCAGGACGGATTTTTGAAATTTGAAAGTCATATTTTCATGGTGAGTTTTGTATTATAAAATTCACCTGATTTCATAGACGAATCGTACTATTTATTTATATATTTATGTATGTATTTATTTTTTTGAGACAGAGACTCACTCTGTTGCCCAGGGTGGAGTGCAATGGCTCGATCTTGACTCTTTGCAGCCTCCACCTGCTGGGTTCAAGCAGTTCTGCCCCAGCCTCCTGAGTAGCTGGGATTATAGGCATCCATGCCTGGCTTATTTTCGTATTTTTAGTAGAGATGGGATTTCACCATGTTGACCAGGCTGGTCTCCAACTCCTGACACCAAGTGATCTGCCCTCCTCGGCCTCCCAAAGTGCTGGGACTACAGGTGTGAGCCACCACGCCCTGCCAACAAGTCATACTTGACCCCCTTCAGTATGTAAGTGTCTTTGAAAAAGTGGTGGTAGTTTAGGTGGAGGGGATTAATGCTATTTGTAAATCATGGAGTTCAACTTTTACTTTATTTAATCTTAAAAATGCAGTGAGGTTGGCTGAACGCAGTGGCTCACACCTGTAATCCCAACACTTTGGGAGGCTGAGGCGGGCGGATCACCTAAGGTCAGGAGTTCAAGACCAGCCTGGCCAACGTGGCAAAACCCCATCTCTACAAAAATACAAAAAGTTAGCTGGGCGTGGTGGCGGACGCCTGTAATCCCAGCTACCCAGGAGGCTGAGGCAGGAAGAATTGCATGAACCCGGGAGGTGGAGGTTGCAATGAGCCGAGATCGTGCCACTACACTCCAACCTGGGCAACAAAGTGAGACTCTGTCTCCAAAAAAAAAAAAAAAAAAATGCAGTGAGGTGGGGTCTATTATTATCTCCATTTACAGGTAAAGAAACTGGGGGTAGAGTATGTAAGTAATTTTCCTGTATGGTTAAGCTTGGATTAGAACGTTGATCACTTAGCTTCAGAGCCCTGTGTGGTTTCCACACTGCTAGATAGAAAGTTAGGTGAGCTATTATGGGTGTCAGTTTGCCCCTGTTTTACATCAGGCCCTCTGCTTCAGGCTTGCCTTAGTCAGTATGCATATTTTGATGTATTTGTTTGGTCTTGCTCAAAATCGTGTTATGAAAATTAAGGTGAACACTTAAATGCTATTCTAATCATTATGAAAATTATTGGGCACCGCTTGGACTCTAATAACTTGAGTTGTTTCTGTAGAATTACAGTTGTATTAAAAGGATGTTTTCATCATAGTGACTTTTTTCTGCAGCCCAGTTGCAGTATCTTGAATATCAAAGAGAAATATTGAATTACTGCTTCATTCAAAGCTCTGAAAAAGGAAGTTTTTTCAGAAGTTTTTGCAAAATAATTTGCTTACTTGTACTGACAGGAGGCTACTTAATAATCCTTATCTCACTTAGGAAATAGTTATGTTCTGCTCTTGGAATATTAATTTATTTGGTTATTGGTGCTATTTTAGACCTTACAGGGTCTGTTTGGGTATAAATGCTGTGTTATCTTTCTAAAATCTGAAAAATTCTGAAGCACATTTGTTCTTTTGGATTTTAAATAAAAGATGAGGACCCCGTAGTACTGTTTTGGGGAAACACAACAGCATATATATATATGTGTGTGTGTGTCTATATATGTGTATATGTATATATGTATGTGTGTGTATATATATATATAAAAGTATTTTTATTTTTTGAGATGGAGCCTTGCTCTGTCACCCAGGCTGAAGTGCAGTGACGTGATCTCGGCTCACTGCAACCTCTGTTTCCCGTGTTGAAACGATTCTCATGCCTCAGCCTCCTGAGTAGCTAGGAAAACTGGTGTGAGCCACCATGCCTGGCTTATTTTTGTATTTTTAGTGGAGATGGGGTTTCACCATGTTGGCCAGACTGGTCTCGAACTCCTGACCTCAATTGATCCACCTGCCTCAGCCTCCCGAAGTGCTGGGATTACAGGTGTGAGCCACTGTGCCTCGGCCGCAACAGCATATTTTAATACTTGTTTTTGAGGCTTAATTTATTTAGTTGCCCTGTGAAACAGTTAAGTAGCCAAATACAAAAATGTAGGCATGTGTTTGAATTTCAGAGTTCTGACAGTATTTTCAGAGGTAGCGTGTGCATGAGAGCATGAAAAGGTTTGCTCTGGCAGTTATACAACCTTAAAGTTCAGTTTAAGTAATTTTTGTGTTTGTTTTGGCATGAAGTCTCACTCTGTCGCCCAGGCTCACATGCAGTGGCATGATCTTGGCTCACTGCAACCTCCATTTCCCGGGTTCAAGCAGTTCTCCCCCCTTGGCCTCCCAAGTAGCTGGGATTACAGGTGCTTGCTACTATGCCCAGCTAATTTTTGTACTTTTAGTAGAGACAAGGTTTCACCATGTTGGCCAGGCTGGTTTCCGACCCCTGACCTCAAGTGATCTGCCCACCTCAGTCTCCCAAAGTGCTGGGATTACAGGTATGAGCCACTGCGCCCGGCCCAGTTTAAGTAATCTTTATTTCGGTTTTTTTGTTTGTGTTTTTTGCAACACATTTGGAACTTTCAGTTTTTAAGGTTGACAGTTGTTTCAGCACGGCTCTTTTGGAATTAGTGGGCTCTTGAATGCACCAGAAAGCATAGCACCATTTCACAGTTTGTGAAGTCTGTGGTTTGAAAAATCCGCAGTTTGTTTATTGGCATATTTGACATGTTAGTTGAACGTATCTATTATCTAAAACATTAATTGACTCCTTTTGCCTTGATTTTTGCCTAACGTGTTTAGCTAAGTGTACTTCTAATTAACACCCCTTTTAGTAGTTAAAGGGTCCTATTTGTTTTACTCTCTTGGTTTGCAAGTTGGCTGAATAAAATGAATACTTTTTCAGACAATTAAGGACAAAAGCTCTGTATGAAATGATACCACAGAGGGCTTAGATTTCCTTGGCACAGTGATTCTTAACCCTGGCTACACATTAGAATCACTTCGGGAACTTTTTAAAACACTTGTACCCATCCCCAGATACTCTGATTTATTTGGTCTGGAGTGGGTGCTATGTATTGGTATTTTTGAAAGATCCCTGTAGGAGTCTAAATTGTAGCTGTTTGAGAAGTGCTGCTTGGAGGAGAGCTTCCTTAGTAATGGTCTTTTGCTGT